GTTGAATTACTGCAAAGGATTCTACCCGTCGTTTGATGAAAATTGTAGTTCAAGACGACCCGCACGACTCACCCGTTACACCCATTATAACATAAAACCAGATATTAAAAATAAAAAATCTTCACAAAACACAAAAAAGGGAAAAAGGAAACAATTAAATCAAATGGACCCTTATGTCACAAGCTACATGTGCTGTTTGTGATAAGCCAACTCTAAAGAGATAAAAGTGAGGAGAAGACTTTGGAAAACATAAATGTTTTCAACCAATAATAAAATAAACGATTTTTTATCTGTTTTATTAAGTTCTTTTTTTTCGATTTCATAAATGCATTTTGAGCGGTTTCATCCATCAATTAGAAGCTTCAACTTTACGAAACCCGTATCAAATCGATGGCTAAATATTAATATCAAACGAATCTAAATCAGTTCGAGTTTGAAAACACATTTAATTTTGATTTTGAATCAAATCTGATAAAACCAAAAACCAGTATTGAGAAAAACTTGAACCCAAAATGAAACAAAAAGCAACAGGTTTTAAAAAAGATATTGAACTGAGAAAGAACCAAAAATATCTGGTTTTTGGTCTTGTCCTGACTTTATTCTTCAATCTTCTCAGTTTGGACTGATTTTTGTCTATCCCTATTTTCTACACAGTACATTTAAATGAGATATCAGTTTTCTTAAAAGATATTTGTTAAACGATCATACCATATGTTATACAAAACTGCAATTTGATTGGTAGGAAGTGAAAGCATAGTTACGTAAATAACAAGTAAAAAATAGTTTGTAATGAGATTTGATAACACGCATTTAAGCACCGATCGATTAGGTAAAAGTACAAATACGAGTAGAGGCAATAATTGAGTATTATTGTCATTTGTGTGAAAACGGCTTATAACTCAAACGTTTGAATTACTCGTTTATAATTATTATTGTGAGTTGGTAAATTTTATATATGCTTGAAATTTTTTAGGACAAATTACATGAAAAAATAATGTACCTTAACTTGATTTTTATTTTAGGTAACGTACTTTCAAAACTTTTATTTTGGTACATAAGATGTAAAATTTTAAATATTTAAGTATCCGGATAACCGGTTGAAGACTAATTTTATATTAAAAAAAATAATTTTAGATTAAAAAAATCCATGTCAGTAACCGCGTCAACAAATAATACTGAGTTGGATACCACATCAGCATGATAACCGGTTAATGCTTCAACCAGTTACCCGAGTACTTAAATGTTTAAAACTTTACATCTTAGGTATCAAAATAGAAGTTTTGAAAATACATTAACCAAAATTAAAATCAAGTTAAAATACGTTATTTTTTCATACAATTTACCCAAAAATTTATAACCAAATTTAGTTCGTAAGTTATTTAATAAATAATTTAGTATTTGGTTAACATATTTTTATTTATGATTATTTGATTATTTAAAAGTCAAATTATCAGTTCGTAACTAGTTGCAATAAAAATATAAGGGTGGTGTCTGATTGGTTTGAGCTTGGGCTCCAAAGGTTAAAGTCCCTGGAGGTCTCAAGTTCAAATCCAAGGAGGAATAAAAATCATCTTGTAGCCACGGAGGTTCAAATGCGGTGACTCCGGGCTACCCGCAAAGTAGGTGGTTGCCCTGAGATTAGTCGGCTCGCATAACGGGTTGAATATCCAGGTTAATAAAAAAACCTAGTTGCAATAAAACTGATTATCCACTAGTAGAATAAATATACTGATATACCTTTATTAATAATAAAAAAAATTATCAAATACAACGTGATACGTTATAAATGTTTAAAAAAAGTTATCATGTAGATATCGAAAAAAAAAGTAATTTAGAAATTTACTATCTCGACCTGAGATATCAGTAAAAATTCATGACTCACTGGTAGTTACAGAGCGACGATACCACTAAACACTTAACTTTACGATCTTTTTACGGTGAATCTCCATCGTTTGTCGGCATATAGATCTCGACAAAAAAAGCAAATTCAAGAGAAAAAAAATATCATCTCAATTCATGTTACGATCGAGTAAAAAGTTATGAAATATGATAATTATACAAGGGTTTGTGATGGAATACGACGGCGTAAGCATCATGTAACCATCGTGAGGACATATGTCTTTTCACTCGTAATTTGGATCGAAACGAAATTTTTGATTTTTTTTTTTTAAGATTTACATGTTGGAAAATTTTAAAAATCCATCATATAGTTATCTTATTCTTATTGTGTCAAATGATTAAGATCATCTATTGATATAGTGCAAAATGAAATATAATTATTTGATAATTGTTTATAATAAAATTAAGGTGCTGAATGGTTAAGAGAGATCTATAATACAAAATCATTAAGAGAGTTTTAAAACCGTTAAGAGACATTTTTTTTGTCAAACAAGATTTACCTTCTAACGATTCAGATATTGCGTCTTAATGGAACTATTAAAAGGTAAACAAACACCCCCTAAATATTATAAATATTTAACTTAATAGACTCATTTTCTTTTTTACTCACATGACATGTCAAATATAAAATATAACATAAGTGGACCTAATTTAGGTAAATATATCAAAACTATGGTCCCTGGCTAATATCAATATTACGAATATTTTCTTATATTTGTAAACAATTATGGTTTTTTTCTCGTAAGGATCTGTTACAGATAGACGTTTTCGACTTTTGAACAGGACTAGTACATATTGGGGCCGGGCGACGGTTTGGAAATAGTGCAATAAATAAATGAAAAATCTAAATAAACAAAGGATAGGCTAATGATGTGTTTTAGAAACATTTTTTTACGAAGGAAAAAAAAGGATCGAAATGAGAGGAATATATATATATATATATATATATATATAGAGAGAGAGAGAGAGAGAGAGAGAGAAAAGAGAGACAGAGATAAGTTATTATGCAATCATTTACATTTGTACAACCAATATAATTTAATCTCATCCGTCCATTTAATTTGATGAATATGTGATTTTATAAAAGTTTTGATTGTTTTCTAATATAAAATATTTAGCATGATTAATGAATTCTAGTCATCTTCCACAAATATTCAAATAATAATAAATGAACTTTAATCATTTCCATAAATATCTAAATTGATAGGATTGCTTTGGTTGTACAATGGACATAGTTGCATTTGAAATATACCCTCTCTCTCTCTCTCTCTCTATATATATATATATATATATATACACACACACTTTGGATCATGTGAGACCAATGATTTTTCATGAGACCCATAAGACCAATTCTCAACCCTTGGATTAAATTTACAATCTGAACATTCACAAACGCCAAGAGACTTCTCAATAATCACAAAATTGTCATCGTACAACTTTAGATCAATAGATCATTAGCTTATAAAGTTGATCAATGAACATAAATTGGTCCTATGGGTCTCACGAAAAACCTTTGGTCTCACGTGAACCCAACCCTATATATAGGACGTTTCAAATGCAACTAATCACATTTGTACAACCAATGCAACTCGACAATTGAGATATTTATGAAAATGATGAGAGTTCATTTATTATGATTTGAATATTTATGAAAGATGACTAAGATTCATTAATTATGATCAATACTTTATATTAGGAAACAATCAATTTTTTTTTATGAAATCATATATTTATCAAATTAAATGAACGGTTGAAATTGAGTTGTATTAATTATACAAATGTATTGAGTTATATAATAAATCATACACACACACATATATATATATTGTAGAATTGATATCTTTGATATCTTTTTTTCCATCTAAAAAACATGGAAAATGATCAGTTTTTTTTTGAGAAAATAAATAAAAAATTTATTTTCCCTCCTTTTTATTTATATGATTTAATTTAATTTTAATATAAAAAATTTGATAAACGCACCCTACCTATCAATTTCTTCTCACAACCTAGGTGTTTGGAATTGTTTATTTAAAATAATTTATGTTTTTTTTATAAAAATGCTTATTAATTTATATGGTATTAAATCGAAGTTAAATAAAACAGGGTTAAAATTGTAAACTGATAATAAGCAGTTTTTCATAAGTCAGAAATGATTAACTTATCAAAAACAGCTTATTACCAGTTTAGCACCGGTATAAACAGTTTTTTTTTCTTATCCAAACACTAAAAAACAACTTATCACCGTACCAAACTGAAATAAGTTAAAAAGTGTCTTTTATAAGCAATCCTAAACACCCCTACTCTTTTACGCTTGTAATGCATTATCTGAATACTATCCATCTCATAATTTTCTGCAGTAGTACCATCTAGGTTCCGATTCATGAGACAGATTCTGGTTGTTGGACGATTACCCATAATTGAACTCGTACTTGAGGGCAGTAATTAATATCATAAGATTACGGAACTCGGCATAGTCCGAGATACGGATCATAATGTCATTCAATTATACACGGACGAATATGAAGATGATGAACTCCAGGTACATTATTGGTTGGAAAATGGAGTTTTGATGCTTCATTAATGGAAGAAGAAGAAAAGGAAGCCAACTAACAGGGACCTCATCGATGACTATCCTACCTCAATTGGAAACCCATTATCCCCTTTGCTGAAACCTAGAGGTACGCATTTTATGTGGTTCAGGAAATTTTAAGGTTTTTATTATGTAGGATTTCGAATTGAAGTGCTGGGAGCAATCCCAATTACTGTTGCCTTGTACTACAGAAACAAATAATGCATATAGTAATGTTAATTCGTTCTGGGGTGCAAAAGAGATCGGGGGTAGTTGGCTAAAATTTAATTTCATCCGCCATTGATAAGCTAGCATTGATTATAGATGACAGTTGTCGGGGGAGTTGCTTTTGACCCCCACCATGTGCTCGACGAAATGCTTCAACCAAAAATAATGTGGTTCACATTGCTCTTTCTTGGTCACTTTTTGTGTGTATATATAGATTTGTTATCTGCATGCATGCTTCATCCGATCCATCGGTTCTTGATCAACTTTTGTGTGTAGGTTGGTTGAGTTGATATTTGGGTAAATGGGTGTCATTGGTATACGTTGTTCGCTTATGCTGGTTGTGGTTTTGGTTGCTTTTATTGGCGATTATGGTGTAGTTTTGGGTGATTTGGTTAAGGGGGTAAAAGATGAAAAGAATTTGTTTGGTAAACCTAAACCTGGGTTTGGAGGAGGTTTAGGTCATGGCATTTATAAGAAAGGGTTTAGACATGTTAAAGGTGGTGGTGGAGGTCTAGGAGGTGGTATTGGAGGAGGTGTGGGAGGTGGGATAGGTCACCATGGAGGTCTTGGAGGCGGTGTTGGTGGTGGAGTTGGTGGTGGCGGTGGGCTACGTCATCATGGAGGGTTAGGAGGTGGTGGGATAGGTCATCGTGGAGGTTTGGGCGGTGGAATTGGTGGTGGTGGTGGGCTACGTCACCATGGAGGTCTAGGAGGTGGTGTTGGGATAGGTCATCATGGAGGTTACAAAGGTGGTGGGAGGTTTGGTCACAATGGAGGTCTAGGAGGTGGGGCCGGAGGATATGGAGGGGTTGGTGGTGGTGGTGGTGGACTTGGTGGAGGGACGGGTGGTGGTCTAGGCGGTGGCGGTGGGCTTGGTGGAGGGGCGGG